TTGGGTCATAATAGGATGCCTAGGCCTGTTTTTATTTTTTTATTTTTTTCGCCCGCCCGCTCCATTATTTTTCTAGAAAAATCCATTAACCAGGAAATTAAATTGGTGTGGCCTAAGCTTGGCTACTGCAGTTCCATTAAGGAAGATTTAGTACACCTGTCAAACTCTACACAAAGTCCTAACATTGCTTGGACACTGTGAAAGATGTTGCCATTTGCCAGGGACCATTTCTAAGGATTACTCCATCCACGAACCCAGCAAACAACTGGACCGAGCGGCACATACGGAGTCCAAGGGTCATGCCTTGTGAGAGGAGGCCAGGAACAACAACATTCACACTCCTGACCTCCGCAATCATAAATAGGGGACCCCAAAGACATTGCCATGGCAACAAAGCTGGTGTGTGTTTTGTGAAGCACATTTTCCATTTTCAGAGGATTAGGCAGAAATGGAATAATCTATACTCTTTTGGATGCAGAATAGTGTGGTTAGGTTCTCAGAGGGACTGTTACTTAAAATTAGCATTAGCCTTTGTGATCATGTCTGTAACACAGTAGGATACCATCACTTGGACTCAAGTACAACAACACCTACTGCATGCAAAGGCAAATAACAAATAGTGGTTTATGACAGATATTGCTTTTAATATTATTTCATGTTGCATACCTTTGTGTTAGCCCAAAAAATTGGCAGTGGCTTTTCAGGCATCCTATTTCCATGTACATATAAGAGCAGCAACATTTGCAGCAAATCATCATAGCAAATAATCAAAATGAAGATTTACAGTATGGTCAAAAACTTTTTCTGGAAACGGACGAAAATTCATTAACAAACAGAATGTCATCCATATAATTTTTTTTTTATTTATTATTTATTTCAAAACACCAAAAGCAAACCTTGCAGCAGGGATGAGAATCCCTGAATTGAAAGAGTTTGCGTACAGAAAAAAAAAGTTACAATAGGCAAGGCAAACAATATATATACACCCTCATATACACTATAATACATAAAAAATTTGTACCAAGCAAAAACCTATATACAGATGAGGTTTAGGAAAGATAAAACTAGTGATATGTCAGTTCTTTGTTGTATAGGGCTATGGCCCTGTGGAGAAAGGACTGCTGGAGCCGCTTTGTCAAATTAACATGGCCTAATTCCAATGACAGGGATCAGAGATCTGTATGATGCTCTAGTATCAGATTTAGCAGTTCTAGTTGGTAAAGTTATGCTATGGATGCAGACCAAGACTCCTCTGCTACAAGCCTTAGGGAATTTGTGGCGTCAGTTTCAAGGTATTTTAACACTGAGTGACCAGAAATCAATACATATACCTCCATATTACAATCTACAACAAGTAAAAGGTTAAGTTTAAGATACTATAATAAAATTGGGAGAGCTTTTAGACACACAAAAGTCAGCAGATGTTAATTGATACTAATAGCTACATGTACAGTATATGCAGTAATTTAGTAGTTCATTTTGTGCAGAATGATATCACAATACATTTACACACTCAGATGACATCTTTGAGCTGTTTATCAATTATACATGTAGCTAGTAATTACAATTATACTACCATGATAATACAAATTATGAATAACCATTGAGGAATGTCTGCCACAGCAAAATATTTTCCCCATACATATCACTATGTTGCACAACTGGAAAGCTGAGCAAGGTCACCATCTGTCTCAGGAACACCTCTCGGCCCTTCTCCCAAGAGAACTTCCTTCTGTAGCCATAAATAAGTAATGTCTGAAGAATCGCCCCTCCGGGCCACCCACCACCACAATCGCCACCTTAGAAGGTCACATGACGCCCTAAGGTCACATGACCACACCCAGATAACAATGCCTCTTAACCCCCAACTGACCTCCTCCGCGCTAAGTGCCCACACTGGGACAGATAAAAGCCTCCTCGGCAGATCATCCCGATCGCTGGTGTGCGAACGTTGGGAAAACCTCAGTACTCAGCTGGACATGTACAGATCAGGCTACAGATATTTTCCACTGCACTCCATGCACAGGACTGCCTGGCCTTTGTCACACAGTAATCGACTTGTTTCGTAGGTAAGCAGATTTCTTCAAAGTCTAGTCTTAGACTTTAAATTAACAGTTAATGAATGTAGCTTAATCAAAAGTAAATTTCTTTTTCTTGCCTTGAGATAAAATTGACTTAGTGTGTGGAAGAATTTTTGTAGTGGCCATCTTGACATATAAATATCATGTATTCTTCATTTTTCAAATGTCCAAAACATTACCAGACTGTCTTGGGTGAGTTTGCTTCTGATAGTGATTGGGAGGAGAGAAGGCCTGTAAGATGACGGTTTCTTTGATGATGGCCATACAGAACAATCTGCAGCAGTGTTCATCTTTTTTGTAGGGAAGCAGCTTTTCTCTGAGAAAGTCTAGCTTGAGAGGGAGTGTGTAACTGTTGTAGTCACAGATTGCAGTGCATCAAAAGTAGTTCTGCAGAGAATTCCTTTTATGTCTCCTAGACAGTAATAGTATTATACCTTGATGAAGGTTAGACATCCAGGTAAACAATATTGAAAGACAAAGCAAACTCTACTACTGGATAAATTACGGAGATTACTTCCAGGCATTCATTGACAAGTGATATCCGTCACTCTTCTATCTACAGCTTGAGAGAATCAAGAGAAATATTAGACACTAATAAAGTGTGAAGGAAGTGGAGAAACCAGTTAACATGACAAAAGCTAGACTCGTAAGTGTCACTGTTATATGAATGAGGATAAGGTAGTTCCTATTGTATTGTAAGATGTTGTCAACTTGTACATGGAGAAATTTGAGCAGAAAGCCCTCACCATGTTCCCCGACACTCCCCCGGCCAACTGGTTTCGATATGTTGACGACACCTGGTGCAGACTACAGACTAAGGCAAGTGGCTGGCAGGAAGGCGGCAGTTTCAATGTTAAAATGTGTGAGAAGCCCATTCACACAGACTGGTACCTAGCCTGTAAATCACACCATCTTTTGGAGAAAAACTGGGCGTCATAAGGACACTATTCCATCAAACACAATCATCACATCAGAAGAGGCCAAGTCCAAAGAGCACATTCACCTGGAGAACATTCAACAAAGCTCTCAAACCCTCCAACCAGTCCAAGAAACCACCCAGAGGCAAGCCATTTGACGGTCAACATCACTATCCCCTACATTGAAGGCGTGTCAGAAAAACTGAGACGAAGCCTACAAGGCTTCAACATCAGCACCAACTTCAAACCCTACTTCACCCTGAGACAGGAGTTGGTTCATGCTAAGGACCATGTGCAGAAAGCAATCAAATCTGAGGTTATCTACATACTCGTGTGAAGAAACCAACTGCAATGGTAGGTAACATTGGAGAAACCAGCCAACCGTTGAAGGAAAGGTACAAACAACATTGCAGAGCTCATGTGGATATACTCATGTACCATCTACCACCATACACAACATCATCAGGGACACTCTTTCAGACTGGAAGCAACAGACATTCTCGACCAAGAACCACATTGGTACAAGTGTGTGGAGTTAAGGGGGACAACCCCACCCTGAACCGGAAGTGAGGACTGCACATACAACTCTCGAGGACATGTGACCCCGCCCTACCACCACCTAAGGAACAGTAGCAGTTCCTTTGTTATTGTCTTACAACTCTTACCATAGGAGCTACCTTATCCTCGTTCACATAACAGTGACACTCATGACTTTTTGTCATGTTCAACTGTTTTTTTCCAGTTCCTTCAAATGCCTGTACTGTATCAATGCCTCTACTGTATTAATGTAAATGTAGGACATGCATTTACTACTAGTAATGCTAGGACTGTACCTACATAAGACCAATTATCTACTCTCACAGGCTTATCAAACCATCAATGCCTTAAATGGTAATTTCAATGAATAGCCTACAATTATACAACCTTGCACTTCCATCTCAGCACATAACACATCTCTTTTATCTATTCAGTTAGTGGGAATTCGGCCTCAGATGACCCATTTTCTGTTGAAATCTAAGCTTCTTTCTTTCAGTTTATGCTTTACTCAGACCTTATAAGGGTTACCAACAAATATAGCTAGCTGTTGTCTGATTCCTGCATGCCATGCCATTTGTTATGTGGAGTCTGCATTTGCATTATGGATGAAGCTGGAGAATTTGAGAGGAGACTAGAGTAAGAAACAGTTTGAATCGCACAGTGGCAGCATGTGGTGTAATGGTTAGAGTGTTTGTGTTAGAACCCCAACATGCCCAAATAGTTTATTGTCTATTTTATGCTCAACAGCCCATAGTATACATACATGCATAACATGGCACAAACACATTAAAAAACAAATCGAAGTATGTACAGATAAATGTAGCTGAGCTGTGCCCTTTGAAAAAGTACTTATTTCCTCATGATGTTTCTGACATAGGGAGAAGAAACGCTGTTCCAGCAACTCAAACTTAGATCAGTGCCTAGAAGTTGCCCTGCACATATAGACACAGACAGTTAGCAACTTCTTTAAAGAAGAATGTTTCCACTATGTTAGAGAGATAGATTCATGTACACAGCCTTTATAGACTTTTATTGCATATCAGAAAGAACTGTACACAACCCCTCTCCTTTCCTTTTCAGTCAAGTCTTTGACGCCTTGTGGCACACAATGTATCCAATATTGACATCAACTGATGTTTATATATCCCTAAATGAAATGCTCATTGTTACTACTGCTAGTCTTTTTTGTATATACTGTCATTGGCCTAGGTTATGGATTGTAGGGTATGAGAAATTTCTGTGATTTGTTACTTTATTGTGTTATGATGTGTGTATGATTATGTGTGTATGTATTTCACAATGTGGGGCCCGACATCAGCTCAGCTGCCAGGGCTTCCACTGTATTGCATTGTATTGTTGGCAATTTAAATAAATAAAATAAAATAGAATAAAATAAAATAAAATAGAATACTGCTAGTCTTAAATTTTTGTTTGTGTCGGCACTAAATCCATGCTGCTTTTTCAGAGAGGAGGCATCAGCTGTTGGCAGAACTAACCAACCCAAGAATCAGAGCAGATCAGGTGAGTTAACCACATTACACACATTGCAGCAATCCCAGGAGCGCTATGGCCAGGTTTTAACTTTACTGCACCTATGTACAACTGTACGTCCCATTTGCCTTGTTCCTGTGGACAGCAAATGTGTCTCTTTGATGGGGGTGATTGTAGGAGGGGAAGATTAGCTCTTTTCCATATGGCAAATCTCACTTTATCTGATAGATTTGCTGAATAGATACAAATGTTTGGAACAGGGACATAATTATTATAAGTTGATTTCATGGTAAGCAATTACCTACATGTAGGTAGGCAGGTAGGTTAATTACACTACTTAAATGTATCTAGGGTGTGTTGAATATACTGTACATGTATCCTGCTAAATGCTATCATTCAGACAGCTTTTGTTCCAATCATAAAAGTTAAATATCTTAACAACAACAAAAATCAGAAGTTCACAATTAACAAACGTAACTTACCTGGTAGTCCATGCCCGTAGCCAGGGGGGGTTCGGGGGGTTCGGAAGAACACACAAGGCTCAAAGGTCCACTTTTTGGTCCACTTTTTATGTAAAGGTCCACTATTTGGTCCAATTTGTATGTAAAGGTCCAAGACTTTTCTTGAAAAGATGGACTAGAATCGTAGAAAAACTGCTCCCTTTGTCATTGAATAAAAATTGATTTTTTCTTGGAAATCCTCTCAAAAATGAATAAAATGCCATTTTAGAAGGTTCATTTTTCAAAATTTCCCCCTCAAGCAGTGGGAAGAACCCCCCCCCCCCATTCAAAATCCTGGCTACGGGCATGTAGTCTTATAAGACTGCTGCTACCATCATTACAATGCATTGTTTATACTTTTCCATTGATAAGACTATATATTCTCCAGCTCTCTGGAGCCCATACCTCATAATCATGTGTAAAGTATGCCAAAGTTCATTACAATGTATGGCACATCTCCCATGTACATCTCTGTGTGGATGATTCATGCGTTAGCACTACGGACAGGACAGCTCATAATTCAGGATAGAATTGTCAGAAAGTTTTATGTACCCTAGAAATACTGTCATAACTTCTCGCCTTTCAAGGATAGAATAAAACTTATTCAATGATTTTTTGGGGGGATCAAATGAAAAACAACAAATGAAAAGGGGGAGGTTCAGAAGATCCCAAGGCTACCGTTTGCTCATTGTAAGGTCTACCACCAAGAGCAAGCACAGCCCCAACTCTGGCTTTCTTTACTCATACTCAACTCCTCTACTTTCCTTTCAAGTTAAGTCTCCACATCTTCAGTTCCTTGATAGAACCTCTCACACTTCAGCACCATGGACAGCATACTTATTTTTACAAACACTGCAATATTCAAAGCCATGGGCAGATTGGTTTTCATTCCTGTACTCACCAGTTCGGGTGACATTCATGGTTCCTTGTGCATGTATTTAGAAGACAGCACATCTTGCCTGGCAGTTATTGAAGTAATACATGTAGGGTTGTAAACGGGATGGCAGCAACTTACCTACAGAAGAAAAATAAATTTCTATCAACAAAATTTATGAAACATATCATAAAACATACAAAGTACTAGAAAGGTGGACATTTGCTCAGGACCAAATACAACGTATTTCAGTCCACCTCTCTCCCCATATTTATTTATTTCATCATAAGACGGCTGGGTAGCCCCATTCAGCTTACATTTAGGTGTTTTCCAAGGGGGCACAGCAAAATTACACAAGACATTGTTACATACAGTAAGACAAGAGTGGACAACATACAATAAACATAAATGTCTGATGTGTCAAAACAGAGTCATAGTCCTATACCAAAGTCCTAGCCGTTCAAAGGTCAAAAACAGGAAAATCAAGGAATGGACTGTTCCAAACTCGCACCTGTGCAAATTTCAAATCATGTGGCTTTAACATTAGGGAATAGGAGCCAGAAGTGTGTGTTTTTTGTCCAACAATAGCAAAAAGCCCTATCGAGAGTTGTTAGTACGTCTATCAATTGGTTTGATAAAAAGTTTGAAATTCATTGTTTGAATTACAGACCAGACAGGTATGTTGGCTTAATGGCTCCTATTATAGCATTTGGGGCTACATGTATCATAGGATGCCTAGATGTAAGCCTGTTTTTTTGGCGATGCCTCATGGGCGAGCCTAATGTTACAGTATTGTTTGCAATTTGCAAGAATTCTGGGAATTGTACAGTAATTTATTCCTCAGGCATGGAATGTCCACAGGCATGTCTGGAATTTTGCTGACACATACATCTACATATGTATGCCCACAGTCCTACACAGTCCAAATTCCTGTAAACCCCTGGGAAAACCTTGCTGGGCTGGTTCACTATACACTCAGGGGAGGGGAGGAGTGATCTACTGAACTGTACAAATGTACTTTATCTGTCTAGACTTAACACTGTACATGTCCAAAATGTATACTGCCAGTGATGGCAGTATTAACACTGTACATGTACAAAATGTATACTGCCAGTGATGCACATAGGATATTAAACTTTGTAATAACGATATACAATTACCAGTGTTCAGATGCAATGAAGCTGATGACTATCGCTGTTTATTCGTATACTGCTGGTGGTGATGACATATAATATTTCATACCAGTAATAACGATAGGAAAGTATTTGTTACCTGTAAGTCTAGACAGATACAATGCAGTTCAGGAGATCACTCCTACCCTCCCCTGAGTGCATAGTGAATGAGCCCGGGGTTCGCATGACAGGTTTTCCCAGAGAAATGCGACCTCAAATGTTATTTTAACAAACTCATGACAGACCACAAGGAGGCTTCCCAAAATCATGAAGACAGTGCCATGCAAACAATAACCCTAATAACAACCACAGTCGCCATGGCAATCATTGTCAGTCTTGTTGTTATTTTGCAGTCACTTCATATTTTTTCTGAAAAAATCTGAGAACCAACAAATCAAATTAGTGGGTATTAAAACACTTTATACTGGATAGAATTTTGGAATGGGGAGGTAAATGGACTGAAATATGCTGTATTTGCTCCCGAGCAAATGTCGGTCTTTCTAGTCCCTTTTGCATTATTTTATTAATTTACACATTTTCTATGTACTTGATGTATTGCCCAAACTTTGATTTTGAAATATGCTGGTCATTCCCCTAATTTTCAAGATAAAAAGTGGCACATATTTCCAAAATCCCTGAAAATCCATGCTCTTTTCAAAGCCGTTAATGATGTTCATGGTGCACTAGTGATGCCATAATACTAGTACATGTCTCATTTATGGGATCATGATCCGTGCTCTATTTGAGACTTACACAATTTCAGGGTGTCCAAATGCTTATACATCTACAGTTTGAATGGGCTTATCTGAGCCAAAATACTGTCACCAGCATTTGGTTGACCTACTTTGCTGCCCTATTTTCACCGAAAAAACATAAAAACAGCAAATAGGCAATATATGATTTGGAGACCTGATTACCAGAAGCGAGAGCACTTAACCCTGCATGCAGAGGCTGCAATAACCACAATACAATAAAAAAAACTTCGGCTGCTTTCTTTTCCAGAACTGTTGACACTCATTTCACAGTTCTGAATGTATCTGCCTCTTTTTTTAATTGCGTTACTTATAAAATGTAGGTAGAAATTTATATGTATAAATTTTTGTGATGTGTGTAAATTGACTTTTTCATTTAATTTATTAACATCCACACCATCTCAGAATGCATGCAGTTTTTCCTTGATATAGTTCTACTTACTAATAGTTATGTGCTGCCTTGAATGTCTTCAAAATTCATTCAAAAACATGAATGAAACATTCAAAACCTGAACACTTCTGACAACTAGCGATGGAACATCGTGAGTTGGAGCACGTGAAAACTGTGCGATATTAGGGCACCCCCCCCCCATTATACAAAACTACAAACCTTTATTTCATTCTGTTAATTAGACACTGATTGCAAACTTCATACATCTTTTGAGTGAGTGTTATAAAAAAAAATATGTTATTCATTACCTGAAGTACCTGCCTTTAAAAAATGAACAAAATCCATCTACGAGCTTAAAAAGTTAAAAAAACAAAACACCCACTACAGTTCGAAACAAGCTGCAAAGAGACCCAAAATTACACTTGCTGTTAAGCCTCAACAGCTTTCCACTACTCAAAAATCATTGACCTGACACTTGTGGCAAATTTTACCTCAACCTTTAACGCTATGCTGCAGGAGGCCCATTATAAAACTTGACCTTCGTCTTTGCTTGCCCTACCCAGTCACTAGATATCATTAACAACCATCTGCATTTCCTCGAATTACGTTGTACACAAACAAAAACACAACCCACTGCAAGAACAAAAGAATATCCCACTGTCAGGATAACCATTTTCGAGCTTGACCTATGTTTCCACAATTGCTACTCACCTACCAAATGTTAATAACCATTCATAGCTTTTCAAGATATGATGCATAAATGCATAAAAATTCCCCTGCAGTATTGTTGCAAAATGCCATGCAGGTGTAAAAAATTTTTTGCAACAGCTTAATATATGCAATATCAAAAAGATACATCTACAGATCTATCTTCTCGAGTTGTGACGTTGATATACATTTGTACATACAGACCCACACCACCTCTACTCCACTAAGCCCAAACCGAAAACATACTTTTCTGACGAAGGCAATTAGAAGCTTGAAATGAAAAAAAAAAAAACGAACATGTAACGTTATTGGTTCTGGTTAAGGTGTTGGTATACAAATAGGTCATGTTTGTAACAGTACCAAAATCAGTGTATAAGAAACCAAAATATACAGTCATGTAAGGCTAGTGTGACACGCATTTTGTTAGAATTCTACCATTATAAACAAATATAGACAAACAAAATAGGTCACATTTGTAACAAAACTTGAAATGAATGAATAAACTTTATTGCTCGACAGTTGTACATGGTACAATGTATGGCAACAATGTGATGAATACAATCAAGTCTATTCTAATAAGAGACTACTAGTATTATTACAGGAATAAGAGACTACATGCTGGATAAAAGACAA